AAAGATGTTGAGACTCTAGAAACTAGAGTACAGAGAAGAGCAACAAAGATGATTAGGGGACTGGAGGCTAAAGCATATAAGGAACGGCTGCTGGAATTGGGTATGTCTAGTTTAATGAAGAGAAGGACGAGGAGGGACATGATAGCTGTATTCCAGTATCTCAGGGGCTGCTCCAAAGAAGAGGGAGTCAAGCTATTTTCCAAGGTGCCTGAAAGCAGGACAAGAAGCAACGGGTGGAAACTAAGCAAGGAGAGAAGCAACCTAGAACTAAGGAGAAACTTCCTGACAGTTAGAACAATTAACCAGTGGAACAACCTGCCTCCAGAAGCTGTGAATGCTCCAACACTGGAAGTTTTTAAGAAGAGACTGGACAGCCATTTGTCCGAAATGGTATAGGGTTTCCTGCCTGAGCAGGAGGTTGGACTAGATGACCTTCAAGGTCCCTTCCAACTTTACTATTATTGTTGTTGTTGTTGTTGTTGAAGACTTTGATAGAAATACGTAGGAGCTGTTGCTTAGGAAAATGAGACTAAGCCACGTAGTAAGTCCAGAACTGCCAGATAGCATTTAGAAGCAGTTCAGACAGACACATTCCTGTTCACTGGACCGTAAGAAATAGTCCATCACAGATTTTGTTATAATAGGAAATCTTCAAGAAAAATAGTATTGGTCTTTTTTATGGAATTGATTTCCTGGCATGGTCTGTCTAGTGGGGGTTAATACTGCAAGTGTGCTTCTCAAGTGAGGGGCTATTTGGTTGCCTGTTTGAGTTGTCATTCAGTTGTAAGGCCAGCACCATTCACAGGGAGTAAGACTTTTGAATGATCCAGCAGCTTAGGAGACCCCCACAAGCCCTTTGATTCTGCCAGCAAGTCCGTTTAATAAGGTACAATTGAATTTGGCCGTAGTTCCAGCTCAGTGTTCTCAACGCTCCTCAGATGGACAACGATTATCAATTAGTTGGTGTCCTCCTTAGCGCCATAATCTCCCTTCAACTTCTTTTTAAAAGTTGTAGGTTACCAGATTCCATTCTTGTCTTCAGGAGGCATCACGGTTTTGTGGTCTCTGCTAAAGACCAGCGATTAAAATACCTGTAGCTGCAGTTACAAATATATCCAGACTTCTGTATGCAAGCTCTGATCTAATTATAGAAGCTTGTTGTCACAATGATTATTCATCCCTACGTATATATGATTTATATAGCAGCCCATATCACACAAAATGCTTATAGGATTCAAACTTCAGATAGTCCTCAAGTTTCAAGGGTACATTTAGTGACAGTTCGAAGTTACCCCAGCACTGAAAAGGGTGAATTATGACTTATTTTTCACACTTACGACTGAAGCGGTATCCCTGTATTAATTTTAGTTATATATATATATATATATATATGACTTGTTTTGCTATGATTGATTACCCTTTCACCACGATGTTTTCCTGAGTACTTTGATGTAAAAATTTAAAAAACCAATAAAATGTGGGGGGAAAAAACAGTTGCTTAATAATACAGGTTTTGCCCGCAGACCTATGTCAACAGTCTTACGTAAAATTTGAAGTCTTTTCATGCTATCCATAAATGATTGCCACCAGAATCATAAGTAACATAATAAAGAATTATGGACATTTGGCAGCAGGAGATGCCATAATGTTAAAAAAGTAATTTTCAGCCCCATCCTGTTAATATAGTACAGGGACAATTTATTGTATCTTTGCCTTAACTGCGCTCCTTAAAATCCCCGTTACTGTCTGACAAAGGTTTTTTTTTTCCAGCCTTGTCAAATCCACTTACTGGAAAGTGCAAAAGAGAGAAGATAGAATATAAAACATAGCAATAACAAAGTTGGAAGGGATCTTGGAGGTTTTATACTCCTCCAAACCCCTGTTCAAGCAGGATACCCTCTACCACTTCAAATAAAGGGCTGTTCAGTCTCTTCTTAAAGTGATGGGGCACGCACAATTTCTGAAGGCAATTGTGGATTTATTGGTAATTTTTTCTCACTTAGTTCTACGTTGCTTCTCTCCTTGGTTAGTTTCCATCCATTGTTTCTCGTCTTGTCCTCTGGTGCTTGGGAAAATAGATTGACCCCCTCTTCTTGGTGGCAGCCCCTCATATATTGAAATAATGCTATCATGTCTCCCCTAGTCCTTCTTTTCATTAAACTAGACATACGCAATTCTGGCAACTGTTCTTCATATGTTTTAACCTCCAGCCCCCTAATTATCTTTGTTGCTCTTTTCTGTACTCTTTGCAGAGTCTGAACACCTTTTTTTATATTGTGGTGCTAAGACACCTCAAGAGAGATTCAGCTTCTTACAGAATCTGTTTTATGAAGAAAATGGCCTGTCATTTTTAAAAATGTAAGAGAGATGTTGAGAATCAGCTTGGAAAACGCCTCATCTGATCAAGGAAGTACAGTATGACATTTTAGTGAGATACTTCCACTGCAGATATGAAGCACCAAAGGGGATCGTTTATTCTCACCCATTTAAATTATTTTTTTTCCCCATTTTTAAATTTGCCTTTTAAATTTACCTTTATAATATACAAAAAGAAAAGAAAAAGAAAACGGCAAGTAATTCAGTGACGCAGAATGCAGTGGCCAGATTGCCGGTGATGCAGACCTCACCCTAGCAAAATAGCACTAGCTCCAAAGTCCCTGTGCAAATAATCCTCAATTTATGAGCACAGTTGAGCCCAAAATTTCCTTTGCTAAGCTATATAGTTGTTAAGTGATGATCACCCCATTTTACTTCCTTGCCCCAGTGGTTAAGTCAGGGGTAGGCCACCTTGGCTCTTTTATGACTCGTGGACTTCAACTCCCAGAATTCCTGAGCTTGGAAACCTCTCCCTTTCCCCTCAGCATGGCTGGCTGAGGAATTCTGGGAGTTGAAGTCCACGAGTCATAAAAGAGCCAAGGTTGCCTACCCCTGCCCTATACCATTTCGGACAAATGGCTGTCCAGTCTCTTCTTAAAAATTTCCAGCATTGGAGCATTCACAGCTTCTGGAGGCAGGTTGTTCCACTGGTTAATTGTTCTGACTGTCAGGAAGTTTCTCCTTAGTTCTAGGTTGCTTCTCTCCTTGGTTAGTTTCCATCCGTTGCTTCTTGTCCTGCCTTCAGGTGCCTTGGAGAATAGTTTGCCTCCCTCTTCTTTGTGGCAGCCCCTGAGATATTGGAACACTGCTATCATGTCCCCCCTTGTCCTTCTCTTCGTTAAACGAACTTCTATTCCCTTACTGGAGGACATGACTTTAATACTAAAACCAACCCTACATTTTAATGGCCCTAGATCAAAGACAAGAAACAATAGGTCCCTACTTTCCAGTACACTAGTTTCTAGAGGGACATCTCCATCTCCCCAAATCTTCTCCTCTTGCTCTATCACATATGATTCTGTTGTGCTTCCATGTTTTTCTTTATGTAAGAGGTCTTCCTCCATTATATCCAAAAAGACCATAAGAGAATAAGACTTTTTCTGCCCAGATTGCAACCAAGTGAAGTCTTTGTATTCTCTGTTGCATGTACGATCGGTTCCCAATCCCCCCAACAGTAATTTTCAAAGATAACTAAAGCACCAGATATTAACAGGCAAGTCAGAAAGGTTCAACCAGTTTATGCTATGAATTTTCTTTCCACACAGATGTGTAATTCCCATAATAAGTTTATCTTAAAGAAACAACTGGCCCCAAACTGCAACTATAAACCACGTAAATTAAACATCCGGTAGACTAAGAATGAAAATATTGGATGGCCCCAGACATGAGCAGCAAATGGAGCAAAGAATGGAAGAGAACAATTGTGTGCTTATTTTATTTCGGAACACAAAGACAATCATTTTGTGCCAAAAAGGTCGTTATACAATATGCTTATATTCAAACAAGACACCATTTTAGGTGAACATGCCATAGTAGATGTATCATAAAATTGATTTAAGCTGACTTCTTTGGGGCACCAGAAAATGTGTTGGCTAGATTCAGATTAATTTATCATGAAAGAGCGGGAGAAACATCCAAGTATCCCACTCCAGAAAATGCAACATAGCACGTCACAGGGATAGACATTGACAGACGAGCTGCACAGGAGAAGGAATTCTACTTCTACTTCTAGACATTCCTGTTCTTTATGTCAATACAGTTTGGGATGTCCTGTTTCTCAAATGAAAGATCACGAACTGGAATCTAGTTTGATTACAGGATAAAAAAATGGCACATGTTAATAACCTCAATAAATATTCACATATTGATATAGAAATTATCAACATGATAGCAGCTTCTTGTGCNCAATAATAAACACTTCTGTGCTTTGAACTCAACAGATGCTCCCGATTATTTGCACCTGATGCATGAGAAGCTGCTATCATGTTGATAATTTCTATATCAATATGTGAATATTTATCAAGGTTAACATGTGCCATTTTTTATCCTATAAAAAACAGTTGGGACAAATCCCGAATGCACGAAAGCGCAGGCAAGAGAAGCGAGTAGGACAGAGGAATGCAATGGGGCGGCTCCAAAGGCAAAGGAGAAGGCATTAGGAAGCCACGCCTTGACTGAATTATAAAAGGGAAGGTGTGGGAGGTGCTGGTTGCCGAAGGCAACCGTTCGTGCTGAGGATCAAGTTTCTGTGAACTGTGTTTGTTTGCCTTGGACATTGACTCAGGTCTGTGAGAATGAAAGGGGTTGGTTTTTCCTGCGGTTCCAGCCTGTTTCTTGGAAGAGGGGTTTCTCCTTGTGAGCATAACAAGGACTCACCTAGGCTGGGACAGAACAGAAATCCAGCAAACATCTTCTTGTGATGGATTGCCTATAGGTGGCAATTCCAGTACATGCTTGACTTAACAACCCACCATAGTCAATTCTGGTCTATCATTTCCCTGAAGTTTACACTACTGAAGTCTGGAGCCAATAATTGATCTAGGCCTTTGGTCTTACCAGTTTCGCTCCTCTTCATTGTCACTCCCTGGCGCAAGCGTTTTGTAACTTTCCCATTTTTCTGACAGGTGACCGAAGAGGAAGAGACAGCTAATCACACCGTGATGATTCAGGAAACTTTGCAACCAGCTTCGATGGAGTTGGCTGAGCAGCATCATTTGGTGGTCTCCTCAGATGATGTGGAAGGCATTGGGACAGTGACCGTTTATACTCAGGGCGGAGAAGCCTCAGAACTGATTGTTTATGTGCAAGAAGCCATGCAGCCGATGGAAGAGCAGGAGCAATCTGGTCAGGACATCTAAATCAGGTCCTCCGGGCAGGTAAGTAGGCAGGTAAGCCTCCCGGCACTGGATGTTGAGTCTTCATTGACATATTGCAAGCTATTTTGGGGAGAAACCCCTGACGTTGGTGTGGCAACAGTTGGTACATTCCAACGACTCTCTGATTCAGGTTAACTCAGCCTTCCATCCTTCCAAGGTCGGTAAAATGAGGACCCAGATTGTTGGGGGCAAAAGGCTGACTCTGTAAACCTGCTTAGAGAGGACTGTAAAGCACTGTGGAGCAGTATATAAGTCTAAGTGCTATTGCTGCATGAAAACCATTCACATAACCTAATCATCTTCAGAAAACTGAATCCAAAATTAATATCAGTATGTACATTTGGGGTTCATTTTGCTACTCCGTTTATATTGCTAGAATAGGTAAGTCAGAATCAGGAAGGGGATGATAGGTGCTTCGGGCCACAGGTCACCAAGGCAAAGCAAGAAAAACCTGTCAATACCCGTATGATGAGCTGTGATGGTGCAGTGGTTAGACTGCAGTATCGCAGGCTAATTCTGCCAACTGCCAGCAGTTCGATCCTGACCAGCTCAAGGATGCCTCAGTCTTCCATCTTTCCAAGGTTGGTAAAATGAGGACCCAGATTGTTGGGGGACAATATGCTGACTCTGTAAACCTGCTTAGAGAGGAGCTATGAAGCACTATGAAGCGGTATATAAGTCTAAGTGCTATGGCTATGGCTATTCTCTGTCTAGCTAATTTTGCTCTGACTGATGAAGTTGCTTGGATGGACAATGAAACGTCTCAGGTTTACAAACTTTGGTCCAGTTGCCATGATTCAACTTTTAGACACCTCCTGACACCGCTAAATTATTTCCCAATGTATATTTGACAGCAAGCATAAAAAGTGCTTCCTGTAGCTATTGATCCATTGTGTGTTTCACTACTGGTAGATGTGAGGGTGGCCGTGGATTGGACTCCAGGTAGTCCTCGACTTAACGACCACGATGAAGACTAGAATTTCCATTGCTAAGCGTGGTGATTGTCAAGTGAGCCATGCCCGATTATATGACCCCTTTTGTCATAGTTGCTAAGCGAATCCCTGCAGTTGGAAATGAGCCACATGGCCATTAAGCAAATCCACCTTCTCCCATTGAGTTTCCTTGTTGGAAACCAACTGGGAATGTTGCAGATGGGGATCAAATGACCCCAGGACACGGCAACCATTGCTGGATGCCAAGCACCTGAATTTTGATCATGTGTCCGTGGAAATGCTGTGTGAGGACTGGCTGTAAGTCACTCTTTTCAGTGCCACTGTAGCTTCCAACAGTCACTAAACAAATGGTTACAAGTCGAGGACTTCCTCTAATGGTGTTTTGACACATCCTGAGCCATAATCCATTTCTTCTTTTTTTTAAATATATATATATATGCCTTTAAAAAAAAACAGTTAAAACAAAGGACATAATGTAACATTCCAGTGTATATATTCCTAACAATTTGTTCCTCATCATACATATAATTCTTAATCTCTATATATACATATTTTTCTATACAATACAGTCTCTAATTTGGTTCTCTATATACTAACATACCATTTTATATATCTCTATCTTAACACTAACTTAAAACCCAAACAGTTCTCCTTGATTCACACCAACAATAGAATTTGTCCCAGATTTCAAAGTAATCTGACTCTGTCTTGTCCTTCATTTCCATTGTGAGCCTATCCATATCAGCACACGATAGGATTTTATATAAAATCTCTTCTTCTGTTGGAATTTCTTTATTCCTCCAGTTTTGTGCATACGCCAATCTTAGCAGCCGTGAGAATATGTAGCATCAAGTAAAGCAGTGGTTCTCAACCTTTTTAATGCTGCGACCCCCAACCGTTCGTAAGTTGAGGACTAAACCGTTCGTAAGTCGAGGACTACCCAACCGGTCGTAAGTCAAGGACTTTCCCTGCCCGGGAGCGCCACGCATGCGTGGTTCCGCCCCCTGCGCTGGCCGAGGCGTAGCTGGCAAGCGGCAGAGACGGAGCAGGCCGACCACCAGCTGGCCCAGCTCAAGGGAGGTAAGGCACCCGCCGGAAAAGGGGAAAAAAATGGCAGACAGCCTTGCTTGGCGACCCCCGTGAAATGGTCGATCAACCCCAAATGGGGTCGCGACCCATAGGTTGAGAACCGCTGAAGTAAAGTATCCCTTTGTCGTATTTCTGCGTAGTTATGCCTAGTAGGAAGAGTTCTGGTTTTAGCTCTACCTCTATCATTAGTATTTCTTCCAGCCATTTTTTAACCTTGTTCCAAAAGTCACGGGCTTTTGAGCACTCCCACCAAAATATATGCCTTTTTTCACCAATCCCCTTTTCTCTTTCTCCCAAGGAACCCAAGAGATCGCCACCTCTTATTACGCCGATGCCGATACACATTCTTCAGGGATGAAATAAACCTCCTGAACAACATCAGTGTGAGGAGTCTGGCACCCAAGAAACCAGGAGGAGCGATCCCTCGCAAAGTGCCACGGGGCTCCGGGTGTGTTGTATGCACTTTAAGAAAAAATGGTAGAGTTTAAAAGACTCTTTTAATCACAGTTTGAAAAGCTTATCGAGAAGGCCAAAAAAGGACAATTGGGCAAAACAGAAGGCCCAGGCAGTGAAGCTGCTTCTAAGGATCACGCTCCATAGCTTATTTCTTCCCGTCATCATCTCCCAACTTGCTACTAGAAAGAACTCTCCCTTTTAACCTTCTGAAGGAGCTTTGCTTTGTGAGTTTTGAAAAAAAACCCAGAACGGGATTGAGTTTTCAAAAAG